AGAATCTAAAGACAAATTATCAGTGAGTGTCAAAGATCCTTCCCCAATAACTGGGGCTAAAGCACCATTGGCAGTAGAAACAAATTTTTGTGAGGATGAACGAAGATGTGAGACCTGTCTAGAATCAAATGTCATATGATCTGTGGCACCAGAATCAATTATCCATGCACTATTAGTAACAGGTGTAGAAATATTTAAAACCTTACCACCATTATCTACAGTTACTACTAACCCCAAGGCCTTTGCAGCACCATCATCCTTTGTCTTAACAACTGCTGCAGTAGAGGTCTCCGTTGAAGTCTTCTTCCAATGGCTATAATCTCACCATTCCGGATATCCCACAAGTTTGAAACAATTACTTTTGGTATGACCAGTCTGGTTTCAATGGGTGCATTTGTAGGTAAACTTGTTTGCACCGTTGGTGGCTTTAGTGTGACGGCCCAAGTTTTTCAACCCGGTGCGTTAGTGATGAACCGAAAGTTGACCCGATAATGGATCCGAAATGCTAAAGCAAAAGATGAAACCAAAGTCTTTAGAGATATAAACCACCTCTAAGACACCAATGTGACCTTCCATGAAGTCACAAAGCTCAAAGAGAATGAAAGCGAAAACAAGGGTCAAAACGGGCAAAAATCATGAACCAAGGGGCAAAATGGTCAACTCACCATTAAAAGGAGCAACTTGACTCTAAACAAGTCAAATAAGGTAAAAACAATATAATCTAATCATTTCACAATAATCCAAGAGGTTCTAAGAACGTTGGATAAGAATCCCACAAAACACCCTTTCCCAGTTTAAGCGAAAACTGACACTCTCTCACTAAAACTTGAATAACTCCCATTGTGATTGGAATCTGAGAATGGAATTGGTACCATTCGAAATCTGACTCAAAATACATGAATTTAGGCTCAAGAATCACCCTATTTGGATTTAAAACGAAGGAGTTATGGTCATTTGAAGTCGAAAGAATAGTGCTGAAACTGGACTGAAGCTACTCTCGGGATCTAGCTATTTCGGACGACCGAAATGACCCATCGGACAACCAAAATGGACAAAATTTCAGCTGAAAACAAGTCTTTAAGGCTTAGTTGGTTTGATACACCAAAATGAGCCATCGGTCGACCGAAATGACCCTAAATGCTGACTTTGGCTACTGGAAATTGAAGTTTCAAGGTTTAAACAAAACCCAAAAGGCTTCGGTCGACCGAAATGACTCGAGAAAGTGCACTAACCTCCTGTTATGCATCCATGGCTGAAAGTCCACTTGGAATCCCCCATGGCATGTTCAATTTGTATTATATGCAAGTATATGATGATGTGAACATGCACGCAAGTGTAATATGGCATTTTAAACGTTCTACAATGGTCCATGGCCTTATTACACTCCATTTACAAAATTTTCCATACCAAACCTCAAAGTTGGAAAAGATTACATTTCAATGACAAGACTTGAAACTTGAATGCATACACTTGTACTTTAAGGTTGGTGACCCTTGGCCACGAATCATACATATCATATAGGTTCCAAACAACTAACTTAAGTATACTTTACATACAATTGAGACAAAAATAGCATATTGAACCTATCTAGTTGTTACAACATCAAAAGAGAAACTTGAACATGCCAACACTTGCATGTAAACAAGAATGCTTTGAAAGAAACTTCAAATCTCTAGACCACCAAAGGTAAATGCCAATCTCCAAATCTTGAATCTTGTACCTGAAATATGCCCCAGTAACGTAGGGGTGAGCAACATAAAGCTACTCGTAGGAAATGAGCATGCATCGACCTACGTTTTACAAGTTTGCATGATTTAATCATTGTGGTTCATTCCACCTAACGTCTATGTCAATGTGAGACTCAGGGAGCATCCTAAGCTACCCTAGATCAGTTCTAGCATCAATCACCTCATTCATGCAATTTCAACAATATAGGAGCATGCTTACACAAAGCAACAATATAAGAATATGCTTACACCAAGCATCAATATAGGAATATGCTTACACAAAGCAACAAGATATAGATTTTCAAAGTAATCAACTTAAAATCTAAAATGTGAAATCAACTAAAAATAGCAATTTAGTATAATTAGAATATCTAATACCACACATCAAGACATAGATTCTCTAAACTATCAATTAGAAATCTAAAAGTGTGCAATCAACTAAATATAACAATTTAGTATAGATGTACTTAACAACATCAAATCGCCAATAGCCAAAACCACAAGTCACAATATAAACATGATTGCAAACTTGGAATTGAATGTGAAAACAAATAGTGGAAGACTTGGACGTCACGTCTCGGATTTCCGTCGAGAACGAAATGGTTGTTCCGGGCACTAACCCGCAGGGAAAACCACCCTAAGTGCGCACTATCTCAATTGGGGAGAACTCGTACCTCCCGCACTAGAGCCAAACTCTAGCCATGTCACATGTAACAACAATGTCCTAAGAGAATTCAAAATAAGCCAAATAAGTTCACAACTTATACATAATACTACTACATAGTAACAAGTTAGTAATTTAACTCCTAATAATGCATAATAAGTATTTCATATTCATAATACTATGAAATCACAAGTCAACAATATATTCATATTAGAAACATGTTCTCGTGAATATAAATTTAACAATAATGCTTTTCAATGTTTAAAACATAATCAAGTGAATACACCACAAGTCCAAATTCATGATCTCAACATAGAAGCAACTTCTAAAACATGATTAAATCCATGGATAAACAAGATAGAATTTAATTAAATCAAAATAATTAGACTCTCTAGATTTCAATTCGTTTCCAAATGGCCTCAATTTAATATATGTTAAAGGACAAATCATGGTCATTACATATATGCATTCAAAAGCTTAATTAGGCCAATGAAACCACAAAATAGATTTTAATTAATTCATTTAATTAAAGTCTCTAGAATTTCAAACTCAACCAAATGCTCTCAAATTAAATTATGTTAAAGAACATATTGAAACATGATTTAAAAGCATAACACAAGTTGAATTCATGCAAAGTACGGCCATGAACTTTAATCTTTCACAAAAGATAAATATTAATTAAAAAGTACAATCCTTATTTAATTAATCCCAATTTAATATATGTTAACCAACATATTAAAACTACACTTTCTAACATGCCACAATCCAAATCAAAGTTATATATCATCATGAATTTTAAATCTTATACAAAGAAATAAAAAAATTACTAACTTTCTAGATTTGATACAAGGAATACATATATGTTGTATAATCATGACAAACACACAATACAACACACAAATAATCCTAAAACATTCCCTACCTCCATTTGAGATGAAATCTCAAATCCCCACCAAAATGAATGTGCTCTGAATCCGACGAAACTCCTAGGTTTTATCGGGGACAACACCGTGAACATGAATCCCCAAGAAGCCCCATCAAAATCACAACTTGACTTCAAACCCGAACTTAAGAAATGGCCAAAACTAAATTCTAATAAGGGGGAATGGAAGAGCATGTCAAGGGGAACAATAAACACAAAGGCACTATACCTTTTCAACCAAGGGAAATGACCAAAAAAGAAGAGAGAAGCATGGCAGCCATGGCTGCCATGAGATCTGGCCAAGAGAGAGAGAGAGAAATCTGACTTTTCAACTAAAGGCACCCTATTTATAGAAAAATCTCAAAAAGTGCCCCTAACGGGATTCGCCGAGTTCGAAAAAGTGAAATTTGAGCAGACGTGCTCAAACGGCAAAACTCTATGAACAAAAAAGATTCAAAATGAGAAAATAAGAACAACGGAAGAAATGGCGTCAAAAACCGAGTCCCGAGCATAAAGTTATGCCCTAAACAAGTTTGGCGCAAACTAGGGCCAAAAACTATGAAACTGGAAAACATCGACCAGGAGGAAATTCCAAGAGTACACGACTCGATAAAAAGTGAAAATGAATCACGTACGAGAATCCAGGCTCAAAACAAGGCATTTAGCAATAACTTTCATTAATTGCACAATGGCCCTTCTAAAAAGTGAAAACTACACAACTGGCCAGAAGCAAAATATCTTCCAAAAATATTTTCTTACAAACCCCTAAAATAAAATATCTTCAAAAGATATTTACAAAAAACACCCCAAGAAAAGAAAATAATTCCAAAGAACTATACATCCATGCCTCTATGGACACCGGAAGTAACCAGAGTACTTTCTTACAAAAGTAAAGATACGTATTTCATGGAAACCACTGAGAATGAAGATACGTGAATTCAAAACCTAACTCCGAACACAAAAAGTGTGGTTATGCCAACAAAGTGACAAACGGGGAAAAGACAAAATAGGGAAAAAGACGATATAGGGAAAATGACAAAAAGTGAATAGTTTCGAAAAACGAAAAATGTGAAATTGACTCGGTTCTCAAAGGAAGTTATCAATCCATAAAAAAGAGACTTTGAAATCACTCCAGAGCACTCGAGATGACACTAATCGACAAAAAACCAAACTCAGAAGGGAAAAGATAACGAAAAAATTTTATCCGAAAAATCCGGGTCATTACATTTAGGTTGATTGGGCTTAGTATGGTCCTACCAATTTTGCTTAAACCGGTTTCGAGCTATCATAACTAAAGCTTCGAGCTATCATAACTAAAGCTTCAGACGCAGAATTTGAGTCAGTAAGACTAATCCCTGTATTAAAAAAAGTTTGAGATCAAACAAAAATAGGAATTAATTTCATCCAAAAGATTCAATATTTTTTTCACTAATTTTTTTTTTTTTTTTAATAGACAAATACCAAACTAAAAAGAAAACAAAATTGGCTTCAAACTAAAAAGAAAAAACATGAATATGCTATTAAAGGTCGGCGGCATCAATGATGAAACGTCACCATCAGTGTGACTTTGTGATGACGACGGCAAAGAAGATTCGGCGACGACGAAGAAGAACCGGTGCAGAGAAGAACTTAATTCTGTCGGCGGTTAGGCAGTGCTTTAGCCGAATTAGACAGCGGCGGACGACAGATGACGGATTTGGCAGCTGCTTCGTTCGTGATGACAGCGGCGGACGGTAGCGGTGCGTTGCCGGCAAGCAATGGTTTGGTTCGGCAACGTCGTCGTCGTGTGGAGAGCAGCCAACTGTTGTGGATACGGTGCAGGGGCAAGGTGACGGTCTGTGGGTCTGGTGGTGGTGATCTTTTATTTCATGATTTCAAATCAATATTTTTCTATTATGATATTGCAAGTAAAAGACCAGCAATTTTGGAAAATGCATATACACGAAGTCAATGGCAACAGAAGTCCAATACCAATTGGTAGTACTAATGATGGTGAATGTAAAATAAACAGAGTCCAATATCAATGTTTTCCTATGATATTGAATGTATAGTCCAATGAATTTCAAAGATACGATTCAAAGAAATTCAAAGTTACGGTTCAAGGATGGTTCTGATACCATTTTGGAATTCAAAGAACAAATATGAGAATTAAAATTATATTTGATATGTTCACTAATGATGTTACATTCAATTTATTGACTAAGACCAAGCTAAAATAAGTAATTAATTATACAATAATTGGGAAACTAATTACCTACTAATTAACCCTACATCAAGAAGTAAATAATTGAGAAACTGTACAATCTGTATAATTCAGCATAAAATCTCAACATATTAGGTATAACAATCTAATCGGAAATATTCCTCATTCTTTTAGGAACTTATCGTCTCTTGAGGTACTTAATGCATTCCGGAACAATCTTAGCGGGAGTGTTCCGGAACCTAGCAGCCATTTCACTTGGAGCCAATAGGTTATCTGGTATTATCCCTCCCTCAATCTTCAATCTCTCTTCACTCACAGTTCTTGACATGAGCTACTGTAACCATCTCACGGGAAGCATTCCTGAGGACATAGGCATCACTCTTCCTAATCTTCAGTACCTTGGCCTCGACAATAACCAATTTACTGGATCCATTCCTATTTCAATATCCAATTTATCAGATTTGGGACTTTTTCAAGTCAGTCATAACAATCTTATCGGGAAAGTGCCTACGATGGAAGGGCTACATAAGATTCAGTTTATAAATATTCTCGACAATCAACTAGGAAGCGAGGGAGTTGATGACGACTTAAGCTTTATATGCTCTTCGATTAATGCCACCAATTTAAAAGTGTTGTCAGTGGACCGAAATAAATTTGGCGGAATGCATCCTAAGTGTGTTGGCAATTTGTCAACCAACCTTGAATTGTTCAGTGTGGCTGACAATGATATATCTGGAAGCATCCCTACCGGGATTGAGAATCTCATCAACTTGAATTGGCTAAATATGTGGAGCAACAAGTTCAATGGTAATATTCTCACTAATATTGGAAAACTCATAAAGCTAAATAAATTGAAATTGGATGACAACAATTTCTATGGAAACATTCCGTCGCCTATTGGAAATTTTGAGTGTTTTAAACCAGTTGACTTTGAGAAGCAATGAGCTTCATGGTAGCATCCCTTCAAGCCTTGGGAAATGCCAAAAATTGTTATTGCTTGACCTTTCCGATAACAATCTCAGTCATGTTATTCCCCCATAAGTTCAGTCTTTATTCCTTATCGATCTTTCTTGATATGTACAATTATGGCATCCTCTTGTTGGAGATGTTTACGGAAAAAAGGTCAATTGATGAGATGTTCGGCGATGATATGAACCTTCATAACTATGCTAAGATGGCTTTACCAGAGAGAGTAGCTATAATTATAGATTCAGTTCTTCTTCAGCAAGGAGAGGAGGGGGAGACAAGCACAAGCACCATCGAAACGAGCCATGTTAGCAGTCACAAGATTCAGGAGATCTTGATTTCGCTATTCAAAATTGGAATTGTCTGTTCTGTAGAATTTTCGCCCAAAAGATTAGATATCGGTGATGTTCTAACGAAGTTGCGTATCGTAAAGGATAATCTTCTCGGAATAGATTTAGGAAGAAAAATAACAAGTGCAGTTTAATCACAAGTAGGTATGACCAAAATTTGGGCAATTATATTATGACAACATTGTTTCCTTAACTGATACAAAAAAAAATAAAAAAATAAAAAATTGACAATTATGCTGTGACCATCATATTCCCTGCTGTAGTCATTCAAACTTGAGTCATATATTCCTTTTGTGCTTCGAATCACTTTATTTAATGTCATGTTGAAGTTTTTCAAAAGCTAATTTATTACTTTGTTTAATGTAATGTTGAAGTTTTCAAAAGCTAATTTATTCGTTATGTACATCGAATCACTTTGTTTAATGTCATGTTGAAGACAGGTGCATGAAGTTGATGATAAATCTATTGAAGTGCTCGTTTGTCAAGTTCTCTCTGTTTGTTTGTCAAGTTCCTCTTATTAACTAGTAGAGGAAAAGTCAATATCTCTGTAGTTTGTTTGTCAGTTTCCTCTTAACTACACTACACGGAGCACGGATCGGTCAGCTGAGCACTCTACCAACCTTCCCTTTCCTCGAACACGGACACACGCAATCAGACAAACTTGAACATTCTACCAACCAGCCACTGGGTAATGCCCAGTTTCGTTTTCATCGTGTATTCGACTTCTTTTTCATGTAATTTGTTATCGACTTGTGCCTATTTCTTCCATGTTCTCAATTACCCATTATTACAATAATTTCATAAACGATTGCAAAAAGTAACCGTAGGCATGCTATTAAAAACCACACAAGAAGGGTGCATAGGTATACCCCTATTTTGATACAAAATCACACACTAAAAGAAAACTGCAATGAAACAACACCAAAAAAGCCTATATTATGAATCTAAGAGCAGGTGCCAAATGAAATTGGCTCTTTTACAAACTCATAGAAAAACTTTGAACATAATAAAGCCATCCTTCATTACTTTCCATCTTTAGCCTTCAATTTACTAGAATTTGCTCCAGCAGCTTTTGCTAGGGTTGTCGGTTTAACGACACTCTTAGGGTTGAGAGCCTTTCTTATCTTGAACACGGCCCAAGCGGTTCCAATAGCGTGCCCTGCAGCATCAAACCCTACATTTGTCACACTTGCTGCCTGTTCTCCATACCTGTAACACACACAAAATGGTGAAGCATTATTTAGATACACCAACACATTGTTCATTAGTGTCTAGAAGTGAAACAATGGAACCTTCAGAGGCGATGTTGCCACCATATGGCAATGCAAATGTTCCACCACTGGATCGCACCCATGATGGAAAGTTTGAAACAAAGACGTAGTAGTAATGACAGTGCTGATCCATTTGGATAAGTATGCTAAGGATAAGTTAGTATTTACCTCTGCGAAACAAGTCCGGTGGTCACAACCGAAGTGGTTGACATCACATTCTTTCCAGCAACTTCAACAGCATCACAGACCTTATCTGTTGGCACATAGAAAGGGAGTATATCATGATAAGAGAAGAATGGTAAAACCACTTGAGGCGAAACGTAACTCCTGCCCTACCTATTGGAGCCATCTTTTATTGCATTAAATTATCCTGAACAATTATTCGCAGCTTCGTATAGAAGCTACATGACTAAGGTGGTTCAGCCTATTAAACTAAAAACTATGCCTTGGCCCCCGATTATAAATGCACAAATCAACAACCATTTGAAGGCCGAAGCAAAAAAAATTATATTCTGGAATCAATAAGCTTATAAAAAAAAAGAAGAGCCTATATCTGGAAAGGCGTATTATAGATTAAATGGCCAGAGCCATTGCACAAGAGATCTTCAAAACCATATAGAGCAATAAAAAGTAATAATACATCGTCCCGGTTTTTCATCATACGAAATAAAGAGGGCTAACGTGGCTATGCCACCCCGGATTCAGATGAAAATCCAACGTTTAAGTCTGGACAATGTATTACTCAGCAATAACACATTTGACTGCTCCATTATAGGTTTCTAAAAAATACCTAGAACCTAATAAGAGGACCCATAACACAGATAAAAAAACAAAATCGAATATCATATGAGGTGTTCTATAAATTTAATTATTTGGAAATAAAATCCCAACAAACCCCCCAAACCCACTCGGGCTGTATCCTAAGAATACATAAATTTGGGAGATATCAATATATTAAGAAGAGATGCATACTAAATCCATCCAGGGACGCAAGAATAATTTCTCCGGGAAGGAGGCTAAAGAATTTCTTTCCCGCTTTGGAGTTCACAATTGAACTTGTGAAGAACCCAGAGACTTTCACAACTCCAGAAAGGATACCAGTTGCCACATTCTCTGACATCTTTGTCATCTTCTTAACCCTGAAATAGCAAAACCATAAATTTGTATATTTACCTTCATATAAAAGAAGGTAAGCCAAAGCAAGAGAATGTGTCTACAATAAACCCATCCAAAAAAAATAAAGGATTTCTACAAACATGTAAGATTATGAACTACTAGTCTATTAAACAATCACTCAAGTATAGATTAATAAATCCACTAAAATTGGCAGTGGACCTGATAAAATTACAGAAAAATAGTGTTTCATATGCCAACGCATTGTATCACAATTTTCCTTAGTCCCTTCCCGTTCTGGGAGACTTGATCTAGGCCTCATTACAAATAAGAAACACAAATATCAAGAAAATGCCACATTTTGCTCATAAAATGAGACAGACAACATAACACCAATTAGTACTATTGAACTGACAAGTGTTTAGCATTGGTTTTTGCACAAACAGTCACCAAATTCAAAAGAACATAGTTTGTAATCAACTACATCAATTTTAAATAGTTCAAAAAGAACCCTGTTGTTCTAATTGCCCAATCAAGATTGGCTTCAACAAAACAATGTATGATAATAAAAGCATCCAGTATAACTGTCAAAAATAACACTTTAGGGTATCTATATTATTATTAATTTATTAGTCAAGAAACCAACATGACATGAGCCGGCCGGCATAACCTACACGGCAAAACATGTTTAATTAAAATTTAACTTTTACCCTACACGGCAAAACATGTTTAATTAAAATTTAACTTTTCATACTTTGAGGGTCATTTCTAACACAAACACAACACATCTAGTTAAATCAGTCATATCTAACCTAAATGAATTAAGGGTATAGACGAGTTAGCGGGTCAAACACAAACGCTAATGTCAAATTGAATCGACACAACTAAGCCAAACCAAAAACCTTGTTCCACTCATGTTAACGTGTCATTGGGTCGAGCCCTAGGCAACAGCTAATCCTTTCTTTGGCATCAGATGCAGCCATAAACAATTCTATAGTAAACTGTAAAATATAACACAAAACAGAAGGATTAACAATAGAATATTTTAATATCTTTCTAAATATATCTTTATAAATATATATATATATATATATATATATATTTGTTAAAAAAAAAAAAAAAAAAAAAAAAAAAAATTGATCAGTAATGAGATTAGAAATCAAACCTCTTCATCCTCCTCATGGCTTGGGGACTAATTTCGGAATTCGACCCCGGCTTCATTCTCAACTTCAAGAATTCATTCCCCCACCTCAATCTATCCGCCGTCACATCCCCGCACCACAAAATCCCCCTAATCAGCTGCCCCGACCCACCCGCAATCATCCTCGCAACAATCCCACTATAATCCTCCACATTTGGCGCCAGAGTCGTCCAGTACGCCGCCGAATTCCCCACCATCAATTCCATCTTCCTCCCCGACTCCTCCATTTCCTCCGGCGATGTCTCCCTCGCCACCCTGGACGCCTCCACCGCCCCCGAAACCCTCTCCACCGAAAACGAACTGTAATTCTCCAAAACCCCATCCAATTCCTTCAACAACCCCTCTTGTCCCTTCGACGCAATCGTTAATCCGTAATTCAACAAATTCTCAGACTCCGAATTCACATTTGTTCCACTCTCGTCGTCGGACCCATTTCCGGCCGGAACATGGAGGGTGAAGAAATAGTGTGAATCGTCGAGCTTCACGGTGGCCTCGTCCTTCGCTAACGGCCACTGGACTTCGTCCCCGATGCGAGCGAGAACTGCGACGACATTGTCGCCCTGCAGGAGACGAACGACGGTGAAGTCGCCGCTTGCGAGCTCGACGCTCTGTTGCTTGTCGATTAGGTGGACTATGGAACCTGGGATTCTGATCAGAATTTCTTCGGAGGACTCGAAAGTGGTCTCAGACTGAGATTGAAGATTTGGGTTCTGTTCTTCGTGATCTGGGAAGAGATTTTCAGCCATTTCTTTCATGTCGATCGATGGATACGGTGATGAAGAGGACTTGCCACGGTTTGAGAGAAGATGTGAAACAGCTTCTGGGTTGGATTGATCGACTTCTGGGTAGAGTGATTTTTTGGGGTTGTGAGGGTTTTGGAAGGACATGCTTGAATTTGATTTGAATATGGGGTTCGATTGATTGGTGAATGAATTGCAAGAAATTAGGGTTTATATTCGTGTGGAGTCTAGGATTGAAGGAAAGAGGAGAGTGTTGCTGGTTGATGTAGGGATACGTGGTGTGAGTTGGACAAGACGCGTAACGGGCGTGTTTGTGCCAAAAATAACGGACTGTTAGAAGCGCTTCGCGCGCTTTATGTATTGTTTTGACCAAAATACCCCTTACATTTGTACGAATTACATGTCCACGTAACTGCTACTTCTTAAATGTTTGTAAATGCAGTCAAAGGGATTGAGTTTGTCTCTTACCTATATTGTTGCTTTGCTAATTAAGGGGTCTCACAGGCTTTATGAATCCCACTCATAACTTAAGAGTAAGTTAATTTGTCTTGTTTTATAATTATAGACCGTAATTTGGAAGCTTTCATACAATTTTTTACTAAATGAATCGAACTATTCTAACTGCAGTCAAAAGGGTTTGACTTTGTCGCTTACCGATATAGTTGACACTTAGAATCGAATAGAATGATGCATGAAAGATTAATTATCGATACAATTAAGACTTGAAATGAAATAAAATGATCAGTTAAAGACCGATTTAATTTTATTCTGCATCACAATTTCACAATTTTTTATTTTTTGGCCTTTGGAAGAAAAATAAATAAATAAATCTTGATAACTTACCATCAACAATATGAATTTAGCTTATCAAAGCAAATACATGTATACACAACAAATGAACAATAATAAACTTCACCAAAAATAAAATACATGTATAGTCTAAAAAGTAAAAACTTCTCGTCTTTTTTATGAAATAAATATGAAATTTAGAAATAAAAAATCTTCTCTTTTTGTGTAATCTAAAAAATATAATGTTATATACTTGTGTATAGTTTTATCTTTATAACATATGTCATGCATATTGTTGTTTATTAATATTATAATATATGTGTACATATTATATATTTGATTTAGGGTTCAGTTCAGTTCTGATTCCAACGAATACTCATCCTGAAACCAAAGCTGAATGGTAAAAAAATTAAACTGAAGTGAAGGTTTGGTACAATTCCTACCGATTTCATGGTTCTACTAGTTCATTGTGCACCCTTAATTTTAATTAATGAATTGAAAGATGTATTAAATGATCCATTTAAATTTTTACAAATTTCAAAAAAATGTCTCAATCCAGTACTTAAATATAAAGAACTTACTACTATTCTCGCGAGGGAGCTCTTTTGAGATCATTTAGTCATTTGAAAATGTGCATTTGGTGTGCAAGAAAATTTATGTAAGTGTTCGATTTATTGGGTAATTAAAAAGTTAATTTATGTTTCTATATTCAATGGGAATGATTTAATTTGTAGATAAATTATTTCCGCAGATGTACAAGTCTACGTAAGTCCTACTTCTAAATACTTTGAATGAAGTCAAGTGATTAAGAAATAGTATTTGTAAATATTTTAAGACTATTTAGAAATCAAACTAATTTTTTTTCAATCAATTTTACCAATTTCAGTTTCAAAACTTCAATTTCATGCGCCTGAAATAGAGTCAATGATCAAGAAATAGCATATATAACCAAAGTAAACTAAAAATTAATATATGATTTATTTTGTTAATTGGTATGATTCCTCGTTTTTAAAATGATAGTTGAGTATTCAATTCCGGAGCACATTGTGAGTGTGAATGATAAATGAATATTACAGGGCAAAATAAAATAAGAACCATGCTTGAAAGGATAAAGGGTTATTTTGTGAAGTTTATAACAGAAGCATTCTTTCCTTGTGAACACCCTTATATATTGTATTCGATTTCTGAGTTGATTTTTAGAATTGAGCTGAGTTGATTTTTAGAATTGAGAGAGTGAGTTATTTACCAAAAAAAAAAAAAAAAAAAAAAAAAAAAAAGAACAATTGAGTGAGTGAGTGACCACAGAACAATTTCTTGTTCAAATTCTTTTAATTAATTTAAGATTTTTGAGGAAACTAAAACTGCTATACCCTCTGCAATGTAGCTCACTCTTGTCCGAAAGTGCTGGGTTCCAATTCCACTATGAATTATAAGCTATAAATTAGTATATGAGGTTAAATCCGTTAAAAATTGGTATATGAAGTTAAATCCGCTAATTATGTTGTAATAGTCATTCTTAATCTTGATTAGGAAGAGGTGAGACAAATTAATCAATACTTTTTTTATTGGACATTCTTTGCCATTTTAATTTCTTTTGATATCAATAGAATTGACATTAAGCAAACATTTATTTCGTGGAATCCGGTAAATTCAAATAACCTAATCATTTAATATCAAGTTAATGAAGATGAAATGGTAGTGAAATTGTCCTTAAACTAACGTAAATTTTGTAAATGAAAGTGGGGAATTTGAGCTAATAGGAGCTAAGTTGAAACAAATTTGTTATACAGCTTACAAGAATGATAACATCATTGTCATTAATTAGGAAATATTTCAACGATGAAGTAGACTAGTTTGGAATTTAAGAACACCTGGCTCATCCAATTCAGCAAGGATAAGATCAAATAAATTGGCAAAAAGATAGTTTTTATTTTAAATTATTGCGATACTTTGAATTTGAGATTGGAAGTAATTTAATTTTAAATTTTAATTAATTAATATTATTATTTTAATTCTAATTGCACATGGATTCTGTGGTCACAAACATGAAGAAAATTCTCTTCAATTTTGATTCTTTAACTAAAAATTATAATTTTTATTTTTTTACTTTTGTAGGAACTTCCCAAACTTGATAAAACCACTTACTGTTCAACACAAGAAGATTGAATAGTGATACTCACACCGAAGAGTCTAACCTATTTTGTTAGCCGAATCTACATGGATGCCATGTCATCATACAAAAAACTCTAACTTATTTATTTAACCGAATCTACATGGATGTCATGTCATCGATAACCAAATTTTCATGGATGTCATGTCATCGATATTCACATGAATATTTATCAAAATTTATGTTTTGATCTATAAATTAATTAAAACCACTAGTCATCCAAACACAACAACTACCACTGCTCATAACCCTACAAATTTAACTTCAAAAATATCACAAATTAAACCTCCTTTTCATTAGAAAAACTTTTTTTCCCTTATTTTCCTTTTCCTTTGGTTTTTTATTTTTTGGTAATAGTTCGTACTTGTATTGTATGTAATCTTTTTTAAAAATTAGGGTTTTTAAATCCCGACGTCTTTTTGGAAACTAAAGGGAAATCCGGCCGCCATTGATGGAGGAGGAGGTTGATTCAACAACAACTTGTGATTAAGAAGAAATTGATTATTTCTCTTATGCTATTCGAAATCCAAAAACCACCACTAAAAAACTCATATTCAATTTTCTGTTATAACTTCATATACTATATGTATGGATATTATATCTTTCATATAATGAATTAAATCGTCGCTAGTGGTTAGCGAGAATGGTAAGGTGGACATTGATGGTTGAAATGTCTGATGCAAAAGAGATTAAAGATGAGAAAGAAGAAAGAAAAATTGATTTACTGCTTTGAGAGGAAGATAAGAAATGAGAGAAAAAATTGGAAGAGAGAGAATTAAAAATACTATTTTAATTTTTAATATGAATACCCATTCTAAACCGACACATAAATTCGGTCAAGCAAATCGGTATATTGTTTCTATGCAACTATCATTTTCCCAAGAAGATTTTAGTTCTCTAAACATCGCCCGGTGTGAAATCAATTCAAATCTTATCCTAAGAAGGATTGGGTTCAATTATTGTGGAGGAAGGTACGCTTTTTATGTTGTTTGGACCAAAACAACCCCGTTCTTTGGTACAAGGTACGCTTTTTATGTTGTTTGGACCAAAACAACCCCGTTCTTTGGTACAATTAACGAGTCAACTTAGCTGCTACGTGTTGTTGAATGTAGTGAACTGATGTCAAGTCTAGATTGTGATAATTCAATTATGTTTCATCATGTTTTGACTTTGTCTGTAGTGGGGTTGAGTTCGAAACAGTGAGTTGAACTTGTTTTGATGTGCTTACACGTGTTTTGGATTGGATTTCAGTAATTGTTAAATACATAACTTAAATTTTTTATTATGATTAACGTGTCATCTTTTTCTTTTTTTCTTTTTTAATTTATTTTAATTTATTTTTTATTTTTGAGTCATCTAAGTCCAAGGCCAGGTTAAATGTTCGGAAATAATTTATGACACTTCATTAATTTCATCCTTGTATATTTTACATTAATGTCATTGTAGGTTTATATTGCACTTGTATGCGATTTTAACTTTTATTACTTGGGGGTATTTGTACGATTATTTTTTGGGAGATATTTTTATATGGAATTTTTGTGGGATTATTGTAATGACTTGGTCATTTTCCCTCATTTCCTTTTTCTCAAGTTTTATGGATAAATTTCTTTTTTCCGTTTAATTTTCTTTTTCGAGTTCTGTTTCTCGTCACTTGGTGTCGTCTCGAGTGTTTGGAAATGGTTTCTAAGGCTCTTTCCCATGGATTGATAACTTCCTTTAAGGACTGGGTCATTTCCACATTTTCACTTTTTGGACACCATCACTTTTCGTCTTTTTCCCCGTTTGTCACCTTTTTGGCACAACTTCACTTTTCATGCTCGGAGTTAGTTTTTGACTTCACGTACCTTCATCCTAAGTGGTTTTCACGAAATACGTATCTTTACTTTTGTAGAAAAGTACTCTGGTTGCTCCCGGTGTCCAAAGAAGCATGGATGCAAAGTTCTTCAGAAACATTTTCTTTTCTTGGGGTGTTTTTCATAAATATCTTTCGGAAATATATTATTTCAGGGGTTTTTAAGAAAATATTTTTGGAAGATATTTTCATTCTGGATCATTAATGCAGTTAACCCTTTTGGAGGGGCCATTGTACAATTAACGAAAGTTATTACAAAAATGCCTCGTGTTGAGGCTGGATCCTCATACGGGGTTCATTTTCACTTTTCGTCGAGTTGTGAACTCTTAGAATTTCTTCCCGGACGTTTTCCCCAATTTTAAGGATTTTTGACCCCGGTTGCTGCCGAACTTGTTCGAAGCATATCTTCCTGCACGGGACTCGGTTTTCAATGCCGTTTCTTCTGTTATTCTTTTTTTCTCATTTCAGTTCTTTTTCGTTCATAGAGTTTTGCTGTTTGAGC